CAATTGGTTAGCACTAAGATAAGAACCACAAGGTTGGAGAAAAAGAAAAAGGAAGAGAAAGACAGAAACAGGAGACTTCTCACTCATCCTGAGAGTTGATATAAACAGAAAGTGGACATTTCAGCAAGTTGGGGATTGATTAGATTGAGAATCACCAGGTCAAAAGAGAGAAAAGAAGCAAAATCCTTCAAAGGATCTTTAAATAAACCTGTCCAACATGTCATCACTGCAGAGAAACAGTGTAACACTGAAGTCAAGATCACATAGTCAGTAACCAAGTTCAATAACATTTAACCTTTTAAAAAATCAATTTTTCAAAAATATTTCCTCAAAATTGATGAAAAAACTTATGGGTTAATTGTACATAAATAACCCCCGTTTTTTTGCCTGGACCGCATTTAATCAGAGACAAAGCTTTTATTCGTATTTTTTATTTATTTTCTATGCATTTCAGGTGCAATATTTTCTTGTAATTTGCACCCCTCTTCAGGATTTTTACATTTCTATAAATTTGGTAAATTTAATTATTACATTGGTAAATTACTACAATAGTAAGCAATACAATTTCAGTAAGCATGGTGTTACACTAGCAGCCAAATTAAAAAATAAAATTAAAAACAACATCAACACCAATAAGTTCAAAAATAACGAAATACTAAACCAAGCAGGTGTAATGTACGAAATAAAATGCACATGTAAGAACCCAGCAATATACATTGGCGAAACAGGAAGACAACTCGGTACCAGAATTAAAGAACATAAAGCAGCAATTAGACTTAATTATAACCAATCACGACAAATCACTGTAAGGAATTTGGATGCACAATAAACGAAAAAAGTATAAAAATTATCCATAAAGAAAAAGATATTTATCTACGAAAATTCAAAGAGCACTTCAAAATCATTAATAAAAACAAAACCATAAACCTAAATGATGGAATGGAGGTTGATGACGTGTGGGAGGAAATGGGAGGAGCTAAAGGGAAAGAAAACAAAAAGAGGGGGAAACGGTCTAAAAATGCCTTAGGGGACATAACATCAACACTGGGCAGATGTTGATCTAAAACTTAAAACAGGTTAGTTAACCATTGTATAACTATTGTAGTAATTTACCGATGTAATAATTAAATTTACCAAATTTATAGAAATGTAAAAATCCTGAAGAGGGGTGCAAATTACAAGAAAATGTTGCACCCGAAATGCATAGAAAATAAATAAAGAATACAAATAAAAGCTTTGTCTCTGATTAAATGCGGTCCAGGCAAAAAAACAGGGGTTATTTATGTACAATTAACCCATAAGTTTTTTCATCAATTTTGAGGAAATATTTTTGAAAAATTGATTTTTTAAAAGTAATATAAAGTAAACCGCACCATGGATATATACATATCTATTACTTATAACATTTAACCTTTCAGGTTGAGATTAGGTGATGTTCTCTCTCATAAACATTAAAAAGAATCTTTTTGTAAATTCTCCTTATTGATTTTTAATATTTGTTTTCATGTATATGAGTGTTTGTCACTCTCCATCATGAATCCATACAATGCTTATCTTTCACACAACATTGTCAATAAAATTTATATGTTGAAGTTTGCCCAGGTCAACTGCTCAGGCCTGACGTAACATATTTTTAACTTTTTGCACTTAAATATTACATTAGTATTGAATTATAAATTTTTGAGTTAATAGAAAATGAAAGTTAATAAACATTTCTATATAACTTTAAAAAACAATCTGAGAGAATAATATTTATGTTTTTAGCTTTTGAATTGGTGGCTGGATGGTTAAAACAGTTAAGGCATCAGTCTGCCACTTTGGTGGACCTTGGATCAAATCTGGGTAAGCAACTTTCAGGAATTTTTTTCATGGATAGTGTGTTTTGGATGTGTCAGACTCCATTCCTCACCACATGGTCCGTTATAGGCCTGGCCAAACGCACAGTGGGTTTGGCTCACAGGACAGTGTGTCAAAGATGAAAAAAATAAAAATTTAAATAATTTTAAAATTTTTTAAATGCCTCTTACCAGATTTTTTGAACATTTCAATATACAGTGGTGCCTCGTATAACGTACTTAATCCGTTCCAGGTGCACGTCCGTTAAGTGAAAAGTCCGTTATACGAAATGCATTTTCCCATAGAAATACATGTTAAAACATATAATTCGTTCCGCAGCATAAAATAACCGTACTGTACTATAAAAAAAATGAAAATGGAGCAGTCACCAATTATGCCGGGTAGTCAGATGTCGTGAGGAAGAGGTGGAGGAACACTTTCTTTGCACATTCATACAGATACAGACTTTTTACACATTGCAGAATGCCTCTTTTTATTGTTTTTAATCGGAGTCAGATTCAGGAGAGGCTACCAGAGCTTGCAGGGTCATCTCCTCTTGTTCCATCCATTGTTTTTTGGCAGCTGGCTTCTTGAAAAACATGTCAAAGGTGGTCTGTTTCTCTCTCTTCTTCAACACCTGTCGGAAATGATGGGCAAGAGTGTCATTGTAGAGATCATTGATCCTGTTGGCCTCAGCTCTGTTTGGATAATGAGTGTTGGTAAACTCCTGAACCTCTTCCCATTTGACAAGGAAGTTTTTGTCAACTTTCACTCCTTCTGATGATGTCTTGCATTGTTTCAATTGAAATCACTTTTCTGTTTTTTTAGAAGCCATGATTTGCACAACACTTGAATAAATTGCTAAAATAAATACCTTGCACTGAGGTGATGTACATAATAAACAAGGAAGCAAGCCGAATCTGAACGGGAGCTCTGTCCTTCAGATATACTAATAATATATTTTAATAATACTAATATATTATAAAAATAGCAGATTGTCATTGGCAACAGCAAAATTGTTCGCCTCACGTAACTGCCGAACGGAAAGTCCGTTGTTCGAAGCCAGTCCATTGCTCGAGTCACATAACGGCCAAACAGAAAGTCCGTTGTTCGCAGCGTCCGTTATATGAGGCACCACTGTAGATGTAATGACATTCAAAATTTGATCATTTGAAAATAAAATAATTATTTTCAAATAATACTTTTATTGAGAATGTGATTTTATTTTACTAAATTAGCTATGCATTTTTGATTCTAATAATATAGGAAAAATTTGTAACATTTATGTAAAAAATTATAAAATATATTATTTGTATAATACCCAGTTTTTAGTTGTTTTTGTCATAAAAACAAAATTATTGTTTAGTATACAAATATATTAATAATTCAAAATATACAATAATACCTCAGTTTTTGTTGACTTTCTTTATCGTAGGTTTCAGCTTTCATCTATTTTTTCCACAAAAAATTTAGATTTTGTCAGTGTGCCCTCACTTCTAATTTTGTGAAAACAAAGGGCAACTCGCACGTTTTCCTGCTCAGTGTGAAGTTGTTTCTCGTTTCTCTTCTAACTGGCGTTGTGAGCATTACCCCATGCGTCTAGCCAATTCCATTGCTTTCCTTTCCTTTTAGTTCCATCATGGGACCAAAGAAAGTTTCCAGAGCCAGCAGCTCTTCGAATGACATGTTAAATGCAATGTTAAATGTTCATTTATTCTTTACATTAGTCTTTTATATTCATTTTATATTAATTTCTTATTGTTTTTAGTATTAAACACTATATTTATTTTTTGTCCAATGGAGATAATTATGATTAATTAATTCTTTTGAAGACAAAGTCCTTTCCAAAAACATATAGGAACCATCATTTATTAACTTTGTGTTCCAAATATTACACTTTTGGTGACTGACCTTTCTTTTTAGGCTACTGGCCGCCAAACAGTCCTTTAAAAAACACAAAAATATCCGATTAAAAATATACATTTTTAAAAACAGGAACTGGTGATACATTTTTAAAAACAGGATACTGGTGATATTCGGACGTCTTCGCTTTTCCATCATACCTTCTTGGGGTTCGGCTTTTATCTACAACAGAATAAGCGGTGGAAAAATCATAATTATCTCCATCGGACGAAAATTTACAAACAGAATTTTAAAGTATTGTCACCAGGGGCCAGCTTTCCTCATCTGCATTTTTCCAGCGCTTATTCCATTGTAGATAAAAGCTGAACCCCAAGAAGGTATGATGGAAAATCACCAGTTCAGTCCGAATATCACCAGTTCCTGTTTTTAAAAATGTATATTTTTAATCAGATATTTTTGTGTTTTTTAAAGGACTGTTTGGTGGCCAGTAGCCTAAAAAGAAAGGTCAGTCACCAAAAGTGTAATATCTGGAACACAAAGTTAATAAATGGTGGTTCCTATATTTTTTTGGAAAGGACTTTGTCTTCAAAAGAATTAATTAACTATATTTATTCTCTATAAAGTCTGTTTTTTGTATATATTTTGGAGTGTCTACAATGAATTAATTGGATTTACATTGATTCATATGGAAATAATTGCCTCGGATTTCGTTGGTTTCAGATTTCATCAATTGTTTTTGGGCGGATTATCGACGAAAAACAAAGTATCACGATATTATACATATAAAAAAAAAATAATTAAAAATGTAAATTTTGTTTTTATGTAGCTTAAAAGTAAAATTTTGTAAGTTTCTTAAAATTATATGTTTAACGATTATATAATTTATTGAACTAAATTTTTGATGAAACCAAAGAATATTTATTCTTTTAAATGTTTTGACATTCTTTTAATATGATTTTAAAGTAAAAATGCATGGTTAATCAGTAAAATAAAAAAAAACTTCAAATCACAAAAAGTATTATATGTATGTATTTTCATAATATGAATTAGTACCCCATAATATTAAAAACATGTAAAAATAATTTCAATTTCAAATAATTTTTTTGGGTCATACTTATTATAATTATTTGATCTATTTGAAAGCAAATAACTAAAATCTTTAATTGTTTACATGATAAATTCTAATATATGTTATTAACTCACAATTTTGAAAAGAGTAATGAACTAAATAAGTCAATCTGAATGAAAGTTTTGAATATAAGGACTAAATATTATATTACTAAAAATTAAATAATTTATTTAAATATTCAGCTACTTTCTCAAATTATTGAATACATCATTAAATTTTTATGTCTTCAAACTGCTTTATGGAGAATAAAATACACACAACATGAACACACCTAATAAAGCAATTTGAAGATAAATGTTCTGGAAAATAATTTCTATTTCTCTACTATCATTAAATGATTTATCATTTATCTTCACTTTCTTGGCACATACTGCGGATCCTGAAAGATATATTTAATAATAAGAATTAAAAATAAAAATTTTACGAACAAAAAGGAAAAGCTTCAAAATAATAGTATAGTATATTGAATTGCTCAGAAACTTTATAGCAATTTTGGATAGCCAACTGGATGAAGTGAAAAATTGTTGAAATTGTAAGAATCAATGAATATTATGAAAAAAATGACTGAGACATATCCATTACAAAGAGTCCGTTAAGATTATTTAAATTTCATTTAATTTGTCTCATCATGAAATGGAAGCAAACAAATTGCACTCTTGATACTTGTTTCTTTTTGTCAAGGCAAAAATTCCATACAAACAGAAAGAAAAAAATGTGATGTTTATGGTATGGAGGCTGTAGCAGTATCAACTGTTTGAAAGTGGTTTGCTAAATTTAAAGTGGTAATTTCAACCGTGAAGATGCACCATATCAGGAAGACTGGCCATTATTGAAGAGGACCAGATCAAAGCATTATTAAACAACCACCCTTGTTACACAACTGAAGAGATAGCAGACAGCAAAGTCATCAAATAGTACTATATTTCAACATCTAAAGAAGTTGGATATGTGAATCATTATGACATTTAGATACCTCATGACTTAACAGGAAGAACTTACTGGATCACATCTCTGTTTGTAATGCTCTTCAAAAATGAAATGAAAATGACCACTTTCTGAAACATTAGTGATAGGTGATGAAAAGTGGATTGTTTATAACATTATCAATCAAAAATGATCATAAGGCAAGAAAAATGAACCACTTGTTAAATATTCTAAAGACCAGTCTTTATCTAAAGAAGATCATACTTACCATCTAGTGGGATTGGAAAGAAATTTGTACTAAGCTGTTTCTCTAGAATCAATCAATCAATTCTGATAAGTATTGTTCCCAACTTGATCAACCAAAGATAGCAATTGAAGAAAAATGCCTGGAATTGGCCAACAAAAAATGCATTGTTTCATCACGATACTGTAATACCAGACAGACATTTCTTTACAAACATGCCAAAAATTATTGGAACTAGGCTGGGATGTTTTACCCACTTCCATATTCATCCAACCTTGTTGACCATTTGCTCTGGGCTCTGCAGAATTCCCTTTTTGATAAAAACTTTAGTAGTTTTAAAACTTGCAAAAACCATATGGAATTAGTTTTTGCAAGAAAAACTGGAAAGTTCTATGAGAGTATTATGATACTTAACCATAGAAGGCATCATTAAAAACAACCTGTGTTGAATAAAGTATACTTTTAGTTTTAAAACAGTTTGTTTTACTTCTCTTAAAAATTGCTACAAACTTTCCAAACAACACAATATTTACATAGATATATCTCATTTGAAATGAAAAACTTACAAAAGCATCATGACTTGATATTGTTGATTTTTTTCCTACTAAACTTTTATCTTCTATGACTGACCAAGATGATTCTTTCCCTTTATCCTAAAAATTAAATTTATTTTATTTATTTACAGATAATGCTCAAAAGGACAAGCAATTACTTCCTCAAAGGTACAAAAAAGAAAATTTAAATATATATTTTCCTAAAACTAACATTTGATAGAAATATAGTAACATTTATGTTTCAAATAAAGTAATAAACTTGATTTCTTGAATTTATTTCAAATTCAAATAATTGATTATTAACTATTTAACTATAACTATAAGTCATTAAAACAACTGAAAAAACAACTTTTAAATAGTACTTTACAATTAATATGACCAAAGTGATATAATACTATTATATTTTAAAGAAAAAATTTCAAAAATTACAAAACAATTAACTAAATCATAAAATTTAATTTTTTGAAATATAAAAGAATATTTTGTCTATTTAATGTTTTAATCTTGAAGTTACAAAGATATACATTTTTAAACTTTCATTATTTAAAAATTTACAGTAAAACCTGTATAAAATGGAATGCAATAGTACCAGCTAGAAATTTTCATTTTGGCAGGTTTCCATTTTATAGAGGATTATGTTTTTATTAATGTAGAAAAAGAGAAAAATTGAAAAAAATGTTACAATTAATATTTAGAACTATTTAACCTCAAATGTTAAAGTGTTGTTTCAAAAACATTTGAAAATATTAAAATGATTAGTGTAGAGAAGAATAAAATCTGTGTGAAGACCCAGTACCACCAGAATATGCTTAAATTCCCCTATTCCCTAAAATATACAATTTGCTAATCAGCACTTAATTCATTAACTACAGTAGAGCATCGATTATCTGACCCCCGATTAACCATCACATCGGTTAACCGACCATTCTAGTTGGCAAATTTCAAATGTCTGCTAGTGATGTGGCATTACAATATTTAGCTATGTCTTGGTTACTTTAATATTATTTTTGTTAAATTTTTGCATGTTTTAGCTGGCATCAATGGCTCAACCATTGAAGGGAGGCCAATATTTAAATGAGACTTAATTTTCTAATTATGAGTGGTTGTTTGTTTTGTGAGCAATAAAATAATTTAAAAATAATTTTTAATGATACAATAGCAATGATTATTATTTTAGAAAAAAATTTGTTAGGCTAAACATCAATGAAAATTCAACGCAAAGTTGGTTAATAGTGATATACTAATAAACTAATTACATGGGATATACTAATATCCTAATATACTACACTAATAATGTATTTTTTCCTTCTTTTCGGTTATCCGATTTTTTCAGTTATCCGACCAACCTGAGTCCCCAATTGAGTTGGATAATCGATGCTCTACTGTATTGTGAGAATCTGAATTTAGGATTCATTTATTTTTATCATTTATCAAAATGATGTAATATTTTATTACAAAAATTATACACTTTGCATTTTCTTATCCTCTCCAAAAAATGGAATTTCCTTTCCAACCAGTTTACTTCCTTTAGAAAAGTTTATCGCATCCTATGACTAAATTTTGACCTAACTTCATCTGGGTCAGATGACAAAAATTCCAGTCCTCATTGGAGATAAATTTGAATATAAAAGGGTTATATGTGCCAAATTCTGTGCAGATTCCTCAAGAGCTACAATTTTGTGCCTGGTCTTCTCTTGCTGCTTAATTTCTGCCTAACGCAGGCATGGCCAACATATGGCCTGTCTAATGAATTTATGTGGCCCGCGATTAATCTTTCAATATTAGCTACTCAAGTTCGAATAGCTCGATGAAAAATTCTGATGCCTAAAAAAAAAAAAAAAAGTCAACAACTCACTGTGCATTTAGCGTTAACCCGCCATTACAAATCTCTTAAGTACAGTGTAGAATGTTGATAAAGCATGATAATGTGAAAAATGTATCTGTAATCTCTTGTACAATTTAGTCTCTATGAGGTGACACCACAATGAGATCTCGCACCACCTCAAAATCTTCCTAGGGCAGCTTCCGGTTCAGCCCATGAAAAAAGTTTTCTTTCCAATTCGGTCCAGGGCAAAAACTGTTGGCCACCCCTGGCCTAACGTATACTCAACATATTGTTATAAAAGTTCAAGATTGGACTTATCATAGAGGTGTTATTAAATATTATTAACTCTCTCTTCTCTAGGGTTAATTTTAAGATGTTTTTAGCTTATTTAGTTTTCATTTATACTTAAGTCAATTTCTTTGTATAATATATAGATATATTAAATTTTATTTGTTTTGTTACTCAATTTGTCTATTCCTTCAATTGACACCTATGACTTACCCGCAATTCTTCCCACTCATTGATAATTAGCACTCCTTCTTAGATTTATTTTACAACTCTTATTGCAAGTTAGGATGCGCCATTCCTATCCTAACTGGTGTCAGGTCCTGATAATTACAAGGATTTCTCGATCCTTGCGATAAACATAATTAGCGATCCTTCGACAACAGTGAGCAAGTGTTATGACTCGACAATTAGAAGGTACAATACCTTCACACGTATTCTCACACTATCATCAAGTTAATCTAACATTGAATTTTTCATTTTTTATTAAAAAATTATTTTTATAGACAATATAAGAATAATTGCTTTTAGAAACTAATTTTTATTCTTCTCATGCAAGTAAAATCTTTAGTAACTGCTTTTTAGATTTTTTTGCACTTAATTTTTTCCCAAAAATAATGTGCATTTTTTAAATATTGATCACCCTGAAAAATGAGTTAACTGTTTTAGAGAGTTAGGGAGAAAGAGCAGTACTATATTTTTTATATACTTTCCAAACAATACAAGTACAAACTTGAAAACAATGACAACAACTACCTCACAACTTACAGAATTAATTATAATCTAGTTATAATTAATTCTGTAATTCTAATTATAATTTACGAGGGCTGTTCGGAAAGTTCGCGACCTCAAATAGAACAACAAACAAAATAATGTTAAAACTTTTTTTATTTTTCAATGTAGTCTCCTTTGTTAGCAATGCACTTATTCCAGCGATGTTCTAGCTTTTTTATGCCATCACAATAGGTCGATTTGTCAAGGTGTGCAAAATACTCGTTTACTTCAGAGATGACTTTGTCATTTGAGTGGAATCTCTTTCCAACCAAGAATTATTTTAAATTTGGAAAAAGGTGGAAGTCACTGGGGGCC